CAAACTTTCGAACAAATGGGAATTATCGGGTTGCCTCGAAGAAAGGGAATCGGAAAAATTCGAACGAGTTTCTTCAACTCCATTAATTCCGACCAGACCACCGTCGAATCTTTCATTTGATTTCCTCGTAATTAATAATACCATCCCTGGTATCGTTCTGTAATTAATAATACCCTCTCTGATATCGTTCTCGAATTAATAACATCCAGATTACGTATACATGATTAACCGCTTGCGCTGGAAATGAATTCAGAGATTTGGCAATGTCTCGCGCGATGAATTTTGTTTTTACCTATTTATGTTGATATGTACGCCAATTTTGTTTGTTAATCATTCTGTATAGAGTGATACATTTCGAAACAATCTAATAGGCGTAATGCAGCAAGATTGTCGCTGTGTGAAAGACATAATTGAGAATTTTGCAACAGAAACGTTTCGACATGCGTGGCACGTCTTTCCAGCAAGTAGTTAAACACGAAACGCTCTTAATCTTTGAGGCACACGATTGTAAAGAAGGAAACAACTCAAACTGCACACAATTCGCTACGTTAACACTAGAACTACCGAGCATTTAATACGATTAATATGCAATTCCTATAAAAATTGTAACAATAGATTATTTTCAGTTTCTTCGGACATTCATTGTAATATTGAAATGAAACTATTTATTTTCACAATCATTTCGAATATTCAATGCTTCGAAGATATTAATAATTGCTAAACAAAAAAATCGAAACCAGTCATTTTGACTGGTACGGTAGTTCTAGTGTTAATCACAGCAGCCTCAACTACTAATACGTTTCGACTTGTACACATGTTTCTTTTCACTTGTTCACTTATTCGCCGTTAGTTCGTAGCATTGACAACTGAACGAAAGACTTTAAATGAAATATTAAACTGTACGTCTATGCATGAGAAGCTAAGCAAAGGGTGTGATAGTTTTTAACTGTGTTGCGATCTGACACGAATGTTTTTTTATGAGGCGTCAGCATTCATCTGTTATTTCTCGAAGGAAATTGCTAGATTTCTGTTTCAAGATAGTGTCAAGTTTTAAACTCATTAACACGTTCGCTAGCAGCGTTTATTTCGGTGAGGACCTCCTCAATTGTAATATATTCTACAATCCAATAAATCTAAACAAAACATCGAAAAAGTAAAACTAGAACAAGTTATCGAGTTCCTAAATATAATGCTGTAGCTGTTAACCTTAAATAATATCTATAAGATTGATTTCATTCGCTTTATGTAAAATATAATAATATAAAAATATTATTAATTATTATAATATTATAATTTGTATAATAATTACAATTATTATATTATAATAGTATAAGTATAAAAATCTTCCGTTCTGCTTGCAATAGAATCAAATGAAGTGTGCAATCGTGAAACGCAGGACGAATGCACCTAGGCACTTTAATAAAATCCCAAAGCAAAAAAAAGAAGAATTACACGTTTATCGGAAAAAATAAAGAATTCATCGTTGTAACAATCAGTATAATTTCAAATTTTAAGACGACGTGTAGATTCGTCGGACGCAGTTAACTGGTTAAAGTATGAAACATATTTTCCTAACAGCTTTCGCGTCCCTCGAAAACTAACCTCGATCGAAAGGAATATCTTCGATTCAATCGCGAGGGATTATTGGATAGAAAAATCGTTCGGTTTCCTACAGCGGACGACAATCAGTTCCCCTGAACCGCGGAAAATGAAATCGCGGATGGATTTCCGGCGTGGGGACCGGAACTAATTACGGGCCGAGTAATTAAATTTTGATATGACTGGTCTGATTAAATTCTCGTCCGTGTGTGCTGAACGGGGAAGAGCAAACTGTGTCGCTGGATTAATGTCTTTCGTTCTCTAATATCGCGTAACGATTCTTTTCCCTCTCGTAATATTGTTATCGCAGTTTATAAGTTTACGTTCCGCGACGCCAACGTTCCATACGCAAATTACCGGAAACGAACGTTTCGTATCGGATATTCGAAATGACGACTGCAACGCTGGAATTCCATCGGAGCCCTTGTAATTCGAAGAACTGCTAATTTCGCGGAACCCACGTGGAACTACAAAAACTCGGGGACATTCTTTAATTAACTAACACAAGTATTTAATTGGAATTGTAGTCACGTCGCTAAAGGAACGCTCAGCTTTCGCGTACCGCTCTCAATTGAATTTCAGATAATGCTGTCTATTGCTTGAGCATCACTTTTATCGCCGTGTGTAATAAAACATCGGTGTCCATGACGAAATTGGAAGACCCGGAATTTCAGCGAGTTAAAGAGAAATTTCATTTCTCTCGTGATTAGCTTATTGCGTCGGGATTGAATATGAATATATTGTATTGTATATTTCTCTAATTAAATATGTATTGAAATTCATTCCTTTTTATACTGGATCGTAAACAATCGAATGATTTCGTCAATCCTATTATGATAGATATTATAAATAAGTCAACTGAAATTCACATATAATTTCAGTTTTTAACACGTTCGCTACCAACGTCACATATTTGTGACGAGCGCGATCTTATACTTTACATAAAGGAAATGAAATTAATCTATATTTATATTAGACATTATAAGGTATATGAGGTATTATATTAGGTATTATAATATTATTTATATTATGTTTAAGAACTCAATAACTTAAAAGATTTACTGAATTAAAGAAAATATTACGTATTAAAGAGAACTCCAAATTCGCTATCAACGCGCCATTTGCAATTGCCTCGCGCCCAACCAAAATGGCGGCGCAAAATTCAAACGCTCACGCAACAGCAGCTCCTAACTCACTACTCAAAATTTCAAAAAAAATTCAAACTGGATCAAGATCCTGATTCAAGAGCCTAACATTCATCGTAGAACGATTAATCGGTATAGCGTCACTCAATTTTCTGTTCCAGAGCGGCACAACCAATCCCACGGTGAAGCTGTTCTACGTCGACTTGGAGAAGGTGGTGCGCGGTAACGGGAGCTTAACTGAAATCGAACATCCGGCCGAGTTATCCTCGACGGAACGGATTTTATCTGCCGTCGCTTTTCCCACGGACAATCTCGTGTACGCGACCTGGATGAACAGAGTGCAGAACAAGGCGTACTT